GTGCTCCCTGCCTGTCAGTGCCTCCTATATCCATGCCCCCCACGTCGGTGCCTCCCACATCAGTACTCCCCCATGTCATTGCCCACCATGTCAGTACTCCCCGCCTGTCAGTGCCCCCCATGTCCATGCCCCCCACGTCAGTGTCCCCCACATCAGTGCCCCCCCGTGTCAGTGCCTCCATGTCAATGTCCCAATTTCTGCCTGTCTTTCCTCCACAAAAATGCCTTCCTCATTTCTCAGTATGTCTCTCTCATTATGTCAGTGGTGACCCCCAGTCCCCCCCTCTGTCAAGATCTCCCTTGCATTCCCTGTCAGTGTCCTCCCTGTTGTCATTGTCACTCTTCCTGTATTAATGAACCACGGCCTGTCAGTGTTTCCCCCCAGTGCCCCTCTCCTGCCAGTTAGTATGTGACACTTCCCCCAGCATTTCCCCCTGCCTGTCGGTGCCCCCTGTCATCGCTCCCCTTGTCCAGTCACCACCACACCCCCTCTTTCTGGTGTCCTGAAACGCCCCATTAGTCCTCCTCCAGGATGTCACCAGTCACCTACCCCCATTCTGTCACCTTCCCCAGCCTGTCTCCTTACCCCTCACTGCCCTATTCCTCTCTCCATCCCCATCATTTCTTTCTTCAGACCTGTTTCCTTCCCCATTAAATGAGTAATTTCTTTTATAAGGATTAGCACAATGCTGTTTCCAGTGAGGCAGAGGTTAAAGATGTCCTAAATGTTCCTTTTCCAAATTGCTGTACCACTCCATCCAGTCTAACATCAACTACTCCACTCCTCAGTATTCTCCCTCCCATCTTTGGGTTCTGTAATTTGCTGCAACGTCCCATAGAACTCACGAACCATATTAAGGAAATGGTTCACATGGTTGTGGAGGCTGGCAAGGCCCAAATTCATGGGTCAGGCATAATCTTCTCCCGACCCACGTGGATGCAGGGGCTGACGAACCCAAACTAGCAGTTCAGGCCACAGGCTGCTGGATCACAAGGCTGCGGAAGCTGGTGAATCAGGTCAGATGATAGGCTGCTGGCCCACAGGGCTGTGGGGGCCGGTGAATCCCAGGATCGGCAGGTCAGATGGCAGACCTCTGGCTCAAGTCCAAAGAACTGGAGGCTAGGCGATCACAAACTGGATGTGGGATCCAGATGCAGAGACAGAGAGCCCTATTAGGGCATCTGTGTATATACCTTAGATACAGGCCGTACCCCAGGGAAGGGCATAATTTGAGTAAGGGTGGGACTTGAGTCATGCCCTCCTGCAAGACCACGACCCCAGACACACCCCACACCAATCCTGCCTCATCAACACATATAAATTAGGATCCACAACGCATATAATGGAGGACAACCACACAGTACTGGGAATCATGGCCTACCCAAGTTGACACATTAACCTCAATCCTCACAGGTACCATATACCTCATTTACATAGTCCCACCCAGTCATAGTGTGTGAGTCTCAAGAACATCGCTAGAAGGGCCACATTAAGTAATTCATTGCACCACACCCATGCACCTTACTGAGCCCCCCGTGTGTCCCACCCCACCTGTTACTGTCCACATGTACCCCACCAGCTGTTTGTATTCTTGCAGCCTGTGTCTCCACAGCCCCTACCTGCATTGTCCCTTACTTGTCACTGATCTCTCAGCTTGCTCCTGGTCCCCCTGCCCTGTCACCACCAGCTCACCCAGTTTGTCACTCTGCTTAGTCCCTGCTTTTCACTGCACCCCCATTTTGTCAGTGTGCCCACTTCTTGTCCCTGTGCCTGTCTCCAGCCTGTCACCTCCCCCCATGGCCTCTCCCTGATATGCCCTTGGTTTCCAGTGGCCTGCCATTGCACACCCTCCCAGCTGTTGATGTGTCTTCCTTTCTGGTGTCACTTCCCTTTTGGCTTCTCCATGTCCCATCGACATGGTAGATTCTGGACTCCAAGAGAGTGTTCGTCCTTGCTGAAAGCACTGTGCTTGGTGCTCTGCCAGGTGCTAGGGCATGAGGAGGGGACATGTCAGCTAAGTGCTGGATGGTGATAAGGAGCTAGCTGTGAGAAGAGTGGGGCGATGGAGCTTTCCAGGCTGAGAGGACAGCATGTGCAGAGGCCCTGAGGAGCCTTCC